GTGAAAATAATGTTTATTCCCCCTTATTAACCCAAAGGCACGGTCGTATTTTATTGAATACTAGCTGCTGCCCGCAACTACGTCTGTGTAGCATAGGATGAAAAAGTAACTTGCAGACAGAAATATAGATATACATTAAAACATTTCTTTATTTACTTACCACATTATTCAGGTTTTGCTTTCTGCGGCTAATATGTATAAATTGTCCCCATTACTGACCCGCGAACACAACAGTTAGATCTTATGTCAACACCAGCTGCCTTTAGGATCGGTCCCTAAGATTTATTTATAATCATCGTGAAGCAAGCTGCTGCTGGAAATTCTATGTCATTATCAAATCTTCAATGTGGTTCTTGTTGTTCTAACATTTTGACGCTTACTACAATGCATTAGTAAAAGCATTGCACCCAAATCGCTTAATGCCCGTTTTCTGAGGAACTTTTGTCGGCAGTTTATCAATAGGATAAACTCCGCTTAGACTTAGGTTAAACTAACTGACAAATGAGTGCCGTTTATCGCTTCGATAACTTTATTTGAAGTTTTATTTCGTTAAAAATTCAATTTCTTTTTATTTTTTAATGCCATTCAAGCTTGTTTATTCGTCTCTGTAGAGGTCCCACCTTTTTGCTGTCGATTACAGATATAAAGTGCCTTAGCTACTTTGAAAAGAATCATCTCTCCTTCAGTAAATTTTTTTAATACTTTAATAAATATCAAAATTTAATACTAAAACAGCGCTCACCCACTAATTTAAGTAAAAAAATATAATTATTATTAAAAATAAAGAAGAAATATAATTCCATTAAAATAAATCTAATTTTAGACTCGATGACAGACGCATCTAGCAGGAGATAAGGAACTACTTATCGGTTCCATAGTTATTGAATGGTTCATTGAGTATTACGCAGTGATATTAACGCAGTGATAGTTAACTGCAGTTTATATTATACATAACTTTATTGAACTAATAGCTAATATGAGTTTAGTTGAGAACTTTAGAAACTGGGCATAAGTCGTCTCTGAGATTAGGTACCGCGCACAAAAAAACAGACAAAAATTTTAACAATCATTGTTTTGGGGTCTATTGCGTTGATAAAGTCCCCCAGTAATAATGTTTCTCAAATATCTTCCATGTACTGACAACGATCAGTAAAATTTTTGTTATATGTATAGAATAGATATTACTCACAATATATAAACTTATATATATAATTATAAACTTATGATCCGTTGAAAACCAGATGTAGCCTTGTTGCTTAAACTACCATTTCATGATAAAAATAGTTGCCCAAAATCATTTGTATTGATTTATTTAAACGAATGTATATAAATTTCATTATATACGAAACGCATCATAATTTTTGAAGTAACTTGCGTGCAGCTCGTCTAGGCGAAATAATACTGCATCCAAATTCACCATGACCTTGCTTAATTTGAAAATTTGTTTCGCAATGATATGAACAAAACTTAGGGTTAAGATTATTATTAATAATTATTACCAATTCAATGCCGCATTGAATTCATGGCACCATAATCAGATTAGCATTCGAAAATGCGCAGCACATGAGGCGTTCATAGACAAAGTCGAAATGCCTTTATTTAGGCTCTTTTTGGATGTCAAAAAACTACCACCGTTGCACTAAACTAGACCTGACCAGAAAAGAACCGGCATGAAACTCTGTGGTCTTGCTATCTCACTTTTTTAATCGTACAAGTTTACAAAATTAGTTAAGTATAAAATTGGCAACAGCATGAGGACTATCAAGTATATTGTTTTACTCATCATTCCATGCAGTCTAGTCGATAGATGACTCAGTTTGGCTAGAATGTCAGTGAAGTCCTACCGACCAAAACCGTAGTCGACTTGCACCGCCATAGGGTCAAGCTAAAGCCCTTGGATCCATATTCGAACCATGGTTTGAGATCCATAGAGATAAATGGCGATAGTTGCGTATGATAACGCAAGTAGACCGTCGGCAATATCAGATTCCACTTTTCTGCGGCCGTTCAAAAAATACAAAAAACGGTGACCGGCAGTGACGGCAACCTCCGCCTGACGATTGATTAAAGAAAACAACGCAGCTATAAGGACTTAAGATCGATGTGACTAAAAAAGGCGATGTGTGCCCAACTCAGACGCCTCAAATTAAAGTAAAATATCAGAGAAACTAAAATAAAACAGCTGTGATAGCTCAGTGTCCGCTCGCTTTCAATTCATTATACTGGCATGAAATTGTTAAGTGCTGACTTACCTATCGCGTGTTCAGGGGTGAGAAAAACATCGTGGACTATGCACCCTCTATATAGAGGCTTTTGCGAGGCAGTGGGACAAGTCTGGACTGTTTTATTACATTACATATCAGAGAACCGACAAAACGCATCTGGCACTTTATTGGATCTCAATCTATCGTACACCGTTGGACCTAGGTGCTTTATTTGCCTTCATGTCATCGAAAAATCCGAATACTTGGTAATAAAGAATATCCATTGATTTAGGATCTTCAGCCTTAAATAAAAACACACATGCAAAATACAAAACCTCACACAATGGCTGTTTCACCTAAAGCTCATATCGGCAGAGCTTCGGGAACGCTATCGCACACATTCATGACCTTGCTAACGCTGGGCGCTGATGCAGCCTCTTCTTGAGAAGGAGAAACCTCTGAAGAGGAATCCTGGAACATAATCCTTCCTACTTAGGCTTTTTATGCACCGTGAAAAGTCAATGAACTCTCGACGTTCAATTACAGGAATATCCCTTATCGCCTCCGACCGGGTTACCCGTTGTCTTGACGGAAAGGAAGGGTTGATCCCTGGGTGAAGCTAAAAGAACCCTCATTGGGCTGGCCTGTGGTCTAAGGCGAGCCTGAGAAACTATTGAGTAAATTCAGGCCAGTAAGGTGTAGGGATGATAGATTTGTGGACAGTAGTGAAAGAGCCACTGACCCTTTCTTTGCGACCAAGGTGTATAAAAGTGGCAGGGACTTTTTAAGCAAGGCAGGAAACCCCTTGATGACGATTTACGGCCTCCGTTAAAATTTATATAGGCATCTTGTTTAAAAGGTTTGAGATTACTAGCATACCTTTTGTTTCTCACTTCAATAAATAATAAACATATAACACAATTTTGTGTATCTTTATCATATAATAGATGATCATAAACTATTGCTTTATTGGGTAGACATACTAAAAGATTAAAAACTTTTCATATTCTGGAAATTAAACACTAACAAAAAATTAAAAATACTGAATTATGTCAATTGTTTATTACAGAGAAACAACTCTTTATAGCAAAAACCTGAAATGACCTTTTGAAAAAAGCAAAATAAAAATCAAAGAATCATTAACAGCTTATAAAGATTTAATTGTAATGTAACCTACAAATTTATTACACCTAAACAACATCTGTTTTGATTGACTATTTTGCGATTTGCATTCAACAATATTCTAATATTTTTACTTAATTTTACTTTTATTTCTAATCATATCAATTACTCTATGAAATTACACACAGTATTCGTGTAAATTATAATTTTATCATAATCCATCACATTATATCTTGTGCTTACTACTATTTAATCTATAGAAAATATTTTACATTACTTTCTAGAGCCTTTCTAACATATTACTAAGTAACAATGATGGACATATTTAACCTATATCTTACAAAAACAATGTAATTTATATTCCTGCAAGTGCAGCATGCCAATGAAATATGAAATTACATTTTTATTTAAAAAAAGCATCAGCTTCAAATATCTTACAAGTTTACATTTTGAGTCTCTGGAGTCTACAGTTCAATAATAATTAATATGGAACCTCATGGAAGCTGAATGCAATAAAAAATATATATTTTAAATTGGTTCAGAAATGACACAAGTTCGGACTTAATGAGGTAAAAAACATTAAAAAAGAAGAACGAAATTAAGAACTATCCCATAATCCATTTTTAAAATAATACAGATTAAGACAACCACCATGAATGCCGATAAACTGGATCATGATTTCATGCAATCCATGAGCAAAAAGTAAACTAAAGTGAAAGTTAATTAACTATTTATTATATAAGAAAGTAATTATAATTTACCTTTTTGGATAGTGCTTTGTACCAATTAGCACCTTACAACTTGGTGATACAATATCAAATGATATTTGGCATTAGTGTTGCATATCGATAGTTTGCTATCGATAGACAATCGATTATATATCGATAGTTAAGGTAAAAGCAATAGTATCGATAGTATTATCACGTGTCAATACTGTCGATACTACCGATAGCATCAATGATTTTGTACTATCAATAGCCTTTTACTGGCTATCAATAGCACAAACCTATCGAGACTATCGATAGTTTTGGTCAAAAACTAATGGCAATTGCAATACTATTGATACCATACTACCATGCAATATTACCGATAGTATTGCTGTTATGAATAGTATTGGCACTTGGAGAGCCATCGATACTATCGGTAGTATCGACAGTATTGACTTAGACGATATTATCGATAGTACAATCGATAGTCTGAATAGTTTTCGAGGTCAACTATCGATAGCCAAACTATCGATGGTTGTGCAATACTATTTGGCATTTACCCCTAAATAATTTTTTTAATTACTAATATGTGTAACATTATCTAAAAACCAAAACCGAAAAAAATATGCTGAGATCAAATTTTGATAAAATCTTTGTATGAAAAAATAAAAAGATAGGATAAAAAACTATTATACAAAAGTGCATGACTGTGTATGCATTACATGTAAAATACGAGAAAATAAACAGAGTGAAAATTATAAAGCTAATAGATTTAAAAAGAATTAATGACAAAGCTTTGAGTATATAAGAAATATTTGTGTAGTGAAACTGGAGTATTTGTAAAGCCTTCTCACATATAGTGCATTGTTAAAGGTGAATAAAATCTTGTTACTGTATGATACTCTTAATGAGAAACAGGCTATATGGGCAAGAGAAAAATAATTAATACATTTAAAATTAAAATTTACTGGTTCTTCTCTGAAATTTTACTTACATTAAAATATTTAAGAGCCCTCATAAGTAATGGTTTGTAAACAAATCCCCATGGTACAAAAATAATAAACCCAGAGAAATAAAGTCTACAATATATCTTCCACCATTTGGAAATTACTTTAACGTCAAATGGAGCTAAGCTCCAACCCATAAAAATAATAGTATACATCTTCAGGAATATAAACAATACAAATCTGGCAAAACCGATTTTCCAGATCTTATGATAAATTTCTGTTTTGGATAATATACTCTCCAGTTCTTTTTCCATATAAATAATAATAAACTCATTAAAAAATGTTACATAGTAACCTGACCTAATTCCATGCCAAAGAGCCAAAAAGAGCAGAGTGAACAATTGACTGAGGTTCCTGTTACCAAGGAATTTCAACCGTTTATAAATGTACTCTGCTGCAAAATGGTTGGTATTGCAATTGAAACTGTCTATATAGTGTTGGAACTTAGTTGCACCTTCAAAACGAAGCAATTTAATGTTGTTGCAGCCATCCCACTTTGATATAACACCCATTTCAGTGTTTTCTTCACCATTATATGAAATACCAAATCGGATACATGATGCTGTAAACAGAAAATACTAAATATTTATCATAAACAGACAAAATATGTTAAAATAACTTACAGCTGCAATTAGTAACCACTGTATACTACTCAGTACCTACTTTATTCTGATGTAATTTTTTACATTTAAAACCCCAATCTTTTTTATAGAATAACACATTATATTATGGTATGTTATTATGGTAAAAATTGTCTAGCACCAATCAACATACATTATGTACATTAGCCCTTCACTACCAATATATTAATTAAATTATAATACTTTATTAGTGGTCGCTGAGTAGTCGACTTTCGCCCATAATCAATTTGAATTATAAATTTGTAGAAGAGTGATGAAGTGATGAATTTGTGAGATTTTTTGTGAGAAAGTAAGTCTGTTTTTTTGGGCATCAAGGGATTATTACCACCGGCATTACCCTAGTAAATGTAAAATATATACACATACATATATAAATGTAAATATATATAGATATAGTTAACTGATTCTAATTATAAGATTTTCAATTTCATTATAGTTAAGAGGGTGCAACTAATCACTTAGTGTTTTTTTTTTTTGCAGTTATAAAATAGCATGGGGTATATTTTAAGTTTATTATTCACTCTATTATAAATATAAGCCGACTGGCCAATATATTGCCTTCTAGCAAATGCAGTATGTATAAGGGAGAGTGCCACAATATTGTTCCTTCTTTTATGGGCAAATTTGACATATGTTAATGATATTTAGCAGTGTAGGATAATGTTGAGAACATAGTTTTCTGACTGAGAGGAGACCGCTGATTTTATAAAGACTATCAGTAGAAAACCTATAGGGTGTAGAGTACATGACCTTAATAATAGATCTCTGCTAGACTTTAACAATAAATAAAGAGTTTATATGCATGTGTGTCAAATACATGGTAGACACTGAACTTTTGTTTTAATTTAATGCATTTTTTACGCATAATTAAAACAATATTAGCATATTCTATCTATATAAACCACGTGTGGGAAATATCATACATCTCAGTCTCCGTAATTCTCGTAAAAAGGGGTACAAAGTTTTTACTTCATGTATATAAAATAATCTTTTATATATTACATTTCAACTTCCTCCTCAAACTAAAAACTATTTAAACTTTTCATTTCAAATATAAAACACAATAGTTTATTCCAAATTCTTTGAATTAGAAATTAGAATACAATAAGTAGTACTCAGTTACCTATAAGTACCCAAACAATTGATGTACATTTGGGAAATGTACAATTGTCCATTGACCCATCAATATGATTAACTTTACTCATTTATCTGTGTTTTGTAATTTACCTATGACACTATGACAAAATGAGTCAGCATTTGTCATAATTTACAATTAGAAAATAAGAAAATGATAATGTTACCAAATAAACTGACATTTGAATGATGTTTTGAATCTCTTACTTTTGTAATAAGCTGCAATTTTTTTTGTCATGAAAAACAAAAATGATTTTCATCTATGAATATACATAACAGGTTTTTTCAAAAGCATAAAACATTATTTTAAATAACAATTATATACAGCGTGTCGTTACCTCCGCGACCATAAATGAACACATATCTAACGCTACTTGGCCATCATCATACAAAATATAAAAAGTTAAAAAAAATCATACTAAAAAAAATATATTTTTCAAACCAACTAATTAAATAAAAAATAAACAAAACTTGTAACATCCTATACACCTACAACTGAATAATTCATCCATTAAGACTTTTTCATTCATTGCCTAATCTCTCTTTCTAACAGTTTTTTTTATCTTTTTTTTTAATTCATTCAACCCTTTCATATGATTTGTGACCTTTACAAATGAACTTTACGTTACAGTTTTGTATGTAAGGGTGTTCTAAAATTTTTTGTTTTGGAAAATTTAATAACTCTGTAAATATTGATGTTTAAAGAATGCAAATGTTTAATACATTTTCAAAGGTTTATCCTCTATATCTGTCCTCATTTATTGTCACGGTTGTAACGTCACGCTATATAATGATATTAAAATTACAATACCTTCAGTCAGCAGCCAACAAGAAATATACTTGTAAAGAGCAAAGTGAGCCCACAGCCCACAGTATACATGTCTATAAAATAGTGAATCCTCCAAAAATTCGTCAGATTGCATGTATTTCACATTGAATACGGTCACTGAAAATATGTTAACATTTACTATTACAAATTATGAAGTACTCTAATTGTGTTATGTAGTAATGGAGTCCTAAATGTTGAGAACCTGTTCTCAATGGATTAAAATCATACAGTTTATTGATCTAACATTTACAAGATTAAATCTATCTAAAATTACGTATCTAATAAACCTACTCCATGCAGCATGGTGCCAAGAACGCTAGCTGCATTTCAACACTGAATAGTTATGCTTCACCTTTGAGCGAGAAAAGAACCAGCTCTCATGTCACCAGCCGCGAGGCTCTCTCCCAAGGAATCAAAGTTAAACCATCATCTCATAGCATCATCGCGAAAAATGCCACAGAGCTCTAAAATAGATGTAAACAAGCGCCCTACGGATGACGTCATTCAGGGAACCATTCTCAATCTAACATTTGACAGAAGAAAAAACATTAAGGATAAAGGTGTAACTTTTCCCTAAATGTTTTCTTAAGGCATATGGGTTATCAATGTTAAATCATTCAAGTGAAATCTAAATCTAGAGCGGTCAGAAAAAACAATGACAAAAAAAAGACTTGAACTTTTAGGTAAAACAGAAAACAATCTACCTACCTCCAACTTGGAATGCTACTAAATAAGCTATGCCTTGAATTAGTCTCAAAATAGCTTTTCTTTCATGAACTTCAGATTCTTTATCCAATGGAAATTTATCTGACAGAAAATCAGCATACCGTCTAAAAGAAAATATTGGACCCACAAGAAAGCATGCCGGAAAGTAGACAAAACCAATAAGTTCCATGAATGTAGGGTTTTGTGTGAGTGCAGTCTTCTTGCTATTTTCTGAAATTTCCTCACCCTTGGAGAGCTTTTGGCCATCCCAAAGATCAAAAGATAGGGCAATTAGTTTTAGTGTTAAAACACAGTGTGGCATTGTCCAGGTTATATCATAATCTTCAGATTCTGTCAATACATATCCCACAAGAAGGTATGTCATATTAAACACTAAAGTTATAACAGTGTTCATCCTTCCAGGACCAAAGACAATAGTAGTGAAAAATATGACTACAACTGGTATTGTATTATGAATAATAGCTAGTCCAAAATTGTAAACAGCAATATCAATTCCAGTGATAATAAAATATAAATTTCGAAATTGAGGGTACTTTCGAACATATTTATGGTACATGATGCCTAAGGGATATCCCAACAAAATTGAAATCAGCAACTTTAAAGCCGGTTCCGTGGTGCCTATCACAAAGGCAATAAATGGGATTGGGTTTACACCCACCCAGGTTAAGAGAGATAGTGCTATTCCAAACATGGTGTACCTGAAAATGTAGGAACACTTATCAGCAAATTTGAATTTCTAAAATGCATTTTATTTAAATTTTTTCAGTATATGTAAATAATTTTGACATTAGTGCAAACAATTTAAATCAATTTTAAACAAGAGATAAAAACCACTAATGAATTATTCAACCAGCAGAATTCATCGGTTGCTTGTAGTTTTGAAAAAAAAAATAACAAAAAACATGTGATTTTCACTATAGAAATCTACCAATTTTTTGTTGTCAATATGGCATTTCTGCTCCTATTTCTGCATGGTCATAGAAAAAAAATAACCATGAAGGTTAAGGCAACCACTAAGGTTCAGGCGGGAGCTTAGCTCCTAATCTTGAACCTAATCTATCCGAGTTGGATTGCTCGTGTCGGATCTATGGCTCATTAAATTAAAAAAAAATTGAACTAACAAAACAATTATGATGTCGCCCGCTTCCTATATTTATCATGTTGGCAAAACTGTGTATTAAGTTTTCTGAAATTAATAAAATGGCTAACTTTCTTAGTGAAAATAACAAGTTTTAAATTAAAAATTTTATTTATTTAAAAAAAATATTTTAATCGAATTACGCCAATGTCAGTGTCCTTTGCATTTGCAATTTTTTTCTTTTAGACATTGCTCGCCTCCAATATGTTCCAAATCGACATATGTCATATATATACATATGACATATGACAAATGTAAGGTAAGGAAAATAATAAAAAACCCATATTTCAGCCTTGGTTACTTTGTGTGGGTACAATTTTGAAACGAGTCGCCTTCATAGGGGGTCTGGAGGTGGGTGGGGGTAGGGGGGGTGTGGTGATGTGGTGAGTCAGCCCCCACTTGCTCCCCCGCCGGAGAGGCATAGTTTTTTTATCATACAACTTTTAATTTTATTTATTTAATAGAATCTAATAAGAATGTCAAGAAATCTTATAAGAATGGGAGGGTTCCCCTCCAACCTGTTGTTCTTAACCACACTTAACAACAGAAGCGCTGCCAATGGGTGGTTTTAAAAAATAATCACAAATATTGATCTAACAAATGGTACGAGTATGAAGTCTCTCACTTTCTATATTTATCATGTTGGCAGTACTGTGTATGCAGTTTTATTAAAATTAATAAAATGTGCGTACTTTCTTAGTGAAAATAACAAGATTTAAATATATTTTTTTCTCGTAAACTGAATGCTACCGGAGACTTCTGCTTGTTGGTTAATTCTTTAGTGATTTTTCTCTATCATATAAAATTTTTTTATTATTCGCATCTCCGAAAACACTGTAAATTATCAAAATTACGTTCCATTTCACGTTTCGTAAGATTTTTAAATTTTACAAAATAGCTTATTAAATTTTTTAGGCGTCTCCGGCAGAAAAAATATGTTAGAGTGCTTGGTACGAACCTCCTTAACCCCCCCAAACTTACAGTGTACTTGAATTCGGGCGATTCGATTCAAAACCCAACCCCTTTGTGTTTATGCAAATGTTAATCTCAATTACATTTGGTGATCAACAACCAAGAAAAATTAGGTTATTATTATTGATAGATACACACAACTATAAAAAGTATATTTATAATGAATTAAACTTAAAATATTACAAAATTGATCAGAAATAATAGCGAATGAATTAATTGGATCGAAAAAAATACTCCGTGCAATTATGGTATAAAAATATGACATCATAATGACAAACAACAATTAAACAAAAATTTTAAATATACATGAGGTGCTTGGTTGCCTTAATAATATACGCTATAAATACTCACTATATCGCTGCCCAAGATAGGAGCTGAAAATTTAAAACAATGGCTGCGGTGAACTCTTTCAAATCGAATGGCTAAGTAATCTTAATTCTTGGTTTTATATTAACTAACAATTTTATTTCTAATAATAATCATAGGTTCATACAAATATATAAAAGTACTCTTTGGTTCCATAGAAGTTATCATAGATAAGACATGTAATTACTGAAAATTATCTGGAAGCTAGCTATAAAAAAAGTATGAAAGTATCAATTACGGAATGATCATTGAGCAGCAGGGTGACCATCTGTAAAATGGCGAATCTGCCCGACACTAGCAAAAAATTTGCCAACATCATCTCCAAAAAATGCCAAAAATACGCCATCATATTACTGTTGTTGGAGACAGTACAGCATAATTAATGAAACACATTCTTTCGCATTAGGGATTTGACATCTTCATCTTGGTTTTTCCCTCACTACTGAGGATTGTTACTCATATTCAATTCGTCAACGAGCTGTCTCCATCGGTTTCGCTCTGTTGCCTGGTGGAATGCAGCGCTTATGGGGATTTCTAGGTTTTCAGAAATCCGATCCAACCACCTTTTAGGATTACGACCTCTAGGTCTTTTACCCTCTACTTTCCCCATTTGACACAGGCAAGCTTAAAAGAGCGTTCAGAAAGTATAGTAAAGTAAAAAAATAAGTTAAAGATTTTGTTTTTACTGGAAAATCTCTTTCGGAATAATATTTAGTAAGAACTGCAAGCGTTAATGTGGTTATGACAACAATTTATTATAAGTTTACTTTTATTGTTTTACTATGAATTTACAATTGGAAGCTTTGAAAAATGCAACAAATAGGTTATACATTAGAATTACACATTATATAGGTTATCTATATACATATTTTTATATATCTGTCCTTCTGTATGAATGTTACGCCTTCAGCCTATTCTACGCAGACGTAGTCGCAGGCAGTGGCTAGTAATTAATAAAACAACACAATATTAACAAGGATTTCATTAATTACATTCATTAATAGACATAACCGTTGGGGAAGAAAGGTTCTCGAGTGGCAGCCTCGTACTGGCCATCGCAGTGTAGGACGACCCCCACACTAGATGGAGTGACGACCTGTGCAAATGTGCGGGAAGTCGATGGATGCAGGTGGCTCAGGATCGTACTTCATGGCAGTCCATGGGGTAGGCCTATGTTCAGCAGTGGACTCAAACAGGCTGAAATGATGATGATTAATAGACATTTTGCTTTTATTTCACACACATTGGTCAGTGAAATATTGATTCATGAAAAATTTAGGATAAATATTTGAACTAAACTTTTTGAACCCTAAAAAAGGCCAACATGCATATTACCACCCTAAATCTGAGCCTTAAAGCCCTAAATTGGTAAGACGTGAGTGTTACCTAGGGGCGAAGCGAATTTATCGTAACATCTAAATAAAACAGGTATCTCCAGATAACAGACTGTACCTGTTACGAAAAAACTTAAATAACAGTTCCTGTTCCACACAAATTGCTCCTTATCAAGTTGGCACAACCTTTTCTTTATTCATGCTTACGACTGTTACCTAAGTTAGAAAGAGATAAATGCTGTTACACCGTGTCATAGCTGTTACTAAATACTGTCATTGTTACAAGCTCTTTCTTTTCCTTGCATTGGTCTTATAGCTTTGTTAAAAAAAGAAGTACGGACGTTACTTATCTACCTATGGTAACAGTTACACTAATTGTCACAACATAGTATGAAATAAGAGGCTGTTAATTGTAACAGGTATTTGTCACTGTTACTATTAAATAACAGGAATAGGCGTAACGGGTACTCGATTTAACCTAGTTTATCTCACTCTGAGTGTTACCAACTCTCGAAAATATATTTGTCCTCAAAGCTTAAATCAAACAACATAAAAAATTAATTTTCCTTAAGTTAACATGAATGGATACAGTGAAGTATATTGCAGTGAAATTGTTGGTCTTATAAAAAGTGCTTAGACAAAAAATATAGGGAATTTAATTTAAAAAAAAAATTCTTTAAATGACCAATATTTTCATAGTAATTACAAAAGTAATAAATAATAGAAATTTTTAATTACTTTTGGCATTTTATCCTACGCAATCACTATTGAATGCGTTTAGAGAAACACCTTTAGTTCAACTCCGCATTCTAAGTAATGAAAAGCCATACAAAATTTCGTTAAATCCCATTACCCCAGGCGCTTTATAAAAAAAATATAATGTAAGAAAAAAATACAAGAAGTAAAAAGACTAAAAATAAAACACCCCTAAGTCAATAACAACGCACTTATTTACCCCCTAAATTTGGGGGGAAACCTCTATGTAGGCAGCACTAGATGTTTATGGTCAGATATGTTTTTTTTCTTGAAATTGTAAATCATGTAGCTAAATCTAAGACTGCCCTTTTTCTAGAGCGTTAGATTTTTTACGGATTTTAAGACATCTTATATTTTTTATACAAAGTTCTCAAAATAAAAGGCCTGGAGTAACGCAATCTACTCACATTTATTTGTTGACCTAGCGACATCTAATACGGATTTTCATTACTAGGAATGAGAAGTTGAATTAGGGAGAGTAGAGGTAGAAAGTGTTCGTCAAAACGCATTCAATAGCGCTTGCGTAGATTACATTTTTGGGAAAATGTTACATAACAAGCACATAGTTTCTCTGCTAGGGATGAAAACGATACATCGATGTTTATCAAACATTGATATATCGATCATAAATATCGATGTTGGAAACCAAAACATGATTGCTGTCCTACGAACAATGTTTTATCAGAGCGCCATTCCAGTCAGCTAACCAGTCAGATAATAGCTACCGATCGAGCCGAGGTCCGGCCCTCTCGGGCACCCTCGAATCGGAATGCTAAACGCGTGCTGAGTGACAGTCCAAGCCGAGGTCCCCTCTCGGGGACCCTTGAGCCTGATCATTCCATGGAGCGCCCGCCAAAGCGCCCTAAGAGCTTGGCGGCCTCCCAAACCGGTAACAATAATAGCGTGACGGCCCGAGCCGAGGTTCCTTCGGGAGCCCTCGAGCTTAGTCACCATAACGCGTAATAGTAAATACGCGAGGTTCAGGCTAGGCGCCTCGAGCGCCCGGCCACCTCAAGTCCGTCGGATCTGTGAAGGCCCCTAAGGCCAACAGTGGCTCATCCAGCCAAAAAAAAAAAAAAAAAAAGAGCGCCATTTTCAGTTCTTTCCGTGATATACTGCAACACACAAACAGATAACTCATTAAGTCACAAGCTTTTTGTTTATTTAGGGAGGCGCTCCGGTTCCATGGAGTGACCCTCTACCTGCGCCGTACAATTGAGGTCTGTTTGTTGCAACGCCGAGTTGAATTTCCTTACCAAGAGGGGCATCGAACCGTCGAAGTTGTGGCGTCTTAAGTTGATAATCTGTGGGTCGACGCCTTTTCTTTTTCACGTTCGTTGTCACTTGACGGTCTTGGCAGACGGTCGGAAAATCTAATATTAGATCCGTTATGGTTCACAGATTTTCATTGCAACAATAGCAGATACCATAGATGATACACTTATATAGAGATACTGTGCTATCGGATAGCCTTAACGTCCGGTATAACAAGACAAACAATTTGTATATATACGCCATTTATATATTGGAAGATATTTTATTGACCAACAGTCACCTATTTAAGAAACTAGATGGAGGGGCCTGAAGCGATGTTCTATCGACATATCCGGCTCCAAAAAGTGATGACGTGCAGTGTTCCACCGGGGTCGGTGTTAGGGCCACTTCTGTGGAACATAGGTTATGACTGGATGCTATGTGGCGCCTATCTCATGGGTGTCGTCTGATGACACCCTAGTGACCGCCCGTGGTACAAAATTCCACCAGGCCGACTCACCGACAAATGACGTCTCTCCACCGAACAAGACAATTTTTCTTGCCATCAGTAATCTAAATTCTGTGGCCATCTTCATCATATCCGATAAGTTTTGGAATGTGTACAAAACACATACCTACTTTTTTATGTCTCGTTTTGGACATAAATGAAAGCACAAAGTGTCAGGATAGTCTTACATTTATGTGAAAATTACTTTACAATGAAATCAATATAAAAAAGGTCAGAGTGCAGTGTTGACCGTTACAAAGTTGAATGATGTGTGGCAGGGAGGAACTATTTGACAGACGTTCAAATATGATTTTTTAAAGTAATGCGTCGTTGAGTCTGTGCAATAAATTGCTAAATAAAAACGTTAGGCGCAGATATCTTCCCCCGTTGAAAGGCAATGGCTTTCAACGATTCACCTAAACAATCAGGCGAATCTATAAAGGGTAAACTAACAGAGGTAAAAATTTCTATAAGTTTCCGGGTGTTCAACCAAACAAAAATTTCATTCGGTTAAGAAAAATCACTAATGAAATAATCAACAAGCAGAATTTGGCGGTGGCTTATGGTTTTCGAGAAAAAAATATAGGTAAATGTAAATAACTTTAACTCCGGCGTAATTCGATTAAAATAAATTTTAAACGATAGAGAAAAATCACGAATAAATTTATCAACAAGCAGAATTCGGCGGTCGCTTATCGTTTTCGAAAAAATAAATAATGAAATAGTGTGATTTTTACTATAGAAATCTGCCATTTTTTTGTTGTCAATATGTCAATTCTGCTCGTATTTCTTGGTGGTCATAAAAAAAATAACCTAACATCGAAGGTTAAGGCGGGAGCTCAGGTCCCGCCTGAACCTTCTAACCTAATCTATTCGAGTCGGATTTGCTCTGTGTCGGTTCTGTGACGCATTAAATTATAAAAATCGGACTATCGATACGAGTATGATGTCGCCCGCTTCCTATATTTATCATGTTGGCAGAACTGTGTATTGAGTTTTTGAAGTGAAATAAATAAAATGGTGGATTTCTTAGTAAAAATAACAAGTTTTAAATATTTGTTTCTCGAAAACTATAAGCGACCTCCGAATTCTGATTGTTGATTAATTCATTAGAGATTTTTCTCTATTGTTTAAAATTTATTTTATTTGAATTACGGAAGAGTTAAAGTTATTTACATTTGCCAAAATATATTTAAAACTTGTTATTTTCACTGAATAAATCCGCCATTTTGTGTTTGACAACATATATGTGCGGGATAACTTAGTTTAATAGTGTTTGTATAAGTAATTTACTGTTTAATTCATGTAACGTAAGTCGAAATAATTGCTTAAAACTTGCTTATTTTAGATTGCCTATAAAATGTCTGTATAATGAAATACTATAAGATTTTAATTGTATAACTGGTTTTATATGACTATTAACACATATGTTGTAAAATTAGTACGATAAAATAATTAGGGAAAAAGTATATTTTCATAGTGTTATCGTAATTAATTAAATTTAATTATTTGTAACATAGTCATAAGATCTCGAATTCTTTAAGGTAACGCACCAAGAGGGTGCCAAAGCAAAAATGTAAGCTCTCTGATTCCCCGATACCCGTACCCGCACCTACCCGACTGCTAGGGCAGTGTGTGGATGACCCGTGTGTGTGTGTGCTCTCTGATTGGATACCAATACGACAACCAATCAGAGAGCAGGAATTAATTCCCACAGGATCACATAAATATAGCGGCGTTTCGGGGCATCATCGCAGTCGACGAGCATCAAGATCTACCAGTGGAACAAGCAACTAGAAGAAGTCAGCAAGTAGAGATGGGTCGTATCGCTTTTTCCGAGTACCGTATCTGAATCAGATTTCGATGTCAAATATCAGATTTCGAAACTATGTATTTCAATATCTAGATATTTTACGGTCCCGTATCCACCTTGAATTCTAAAGTGGGGCATTCGTGGAAAAAAAAAAAAAATGTTTTCAACAATATTTTATATTTATTATAAATATAAATTATGCAGGCGTATTTAAAAGTTGATTCATTCTATGTACATAATTTTCCTGATATTTAAAACTTTACATTATATATTTACAATTTATGTGTGGGTTAATAATTCACGTATTTCACGTTTACGCACGTAAGCTGGTTGACTTTATTCGTCGAAAGTCTTGTTCGACGATCATTGTACCTATACATAACTAAAGCTATTACCAGTGATACCAACTGTTCAAAAAGAATACTTCTGAATAAATTCGAAAACCCACTAAAATTGACTAAATGCAAAAAACTTACTGAATTCAAAATCACGATTTTTTTTATACTACTAAGGTAAAATTAAAACATTACCTGATAAAATTAAAAATTTCATTAAAAATAGAAATTGAAGTAATATAAAAATGATTTATTTTAACATCTTATATATCGCTTAATAATTGACTTTAACATATTCTTAGAACACGCAATCATGAGTGACAATATTTTTAGAATTTGTGTAAGAAATAATACATTCAGTATTATAACTTAGGGCGGTAGAATTTAAAATATACACACAAAGCACATAAGCCTTGGTCTGATTTCCACCCAAGCAGCACAGCACTATTAAATTATATTTTTCTTTTTGTGTAGTTTTATTTTTTTCCAAAAATATGAATAAAATTTAACTAATTAAAATATTCACAAAAAATTTACCTCCTAAAAATTTCCATTTATATTTTCCTTAATTTAGGCAGAAAATTCTTAAGTAGTAAGTTGGCATCCCTTACTATTACGTGCTAGGTACCAATGCAATCCAACTCAAGGCTAAACAAAATTTAAAGACATCGTTAATACCGTAATTCGTATTTAAATGCAACTAAAAATGTTTTTTTCCATGCTGTTAAGATTCAAAATTACTTAACTGCGCGCTTTGTCGTCCGTTACGACTCAAGGCTAAACAAAACAATAAAAATATACTTAATAATATCGTTGTAGTAATCGTTGATACCATGGTTAGTATTTAATTGAAACGGATCTTATTTGCATGGCTTTAAGATTCAAAATTACTTAACTTATTCATAATATCTGTTTAAAAATCTGATTGCCGTACTGCTCTAACTAGTGTAATATTTGTATCTCACGCGCTTTGTCGCTCAAAATCTGTTTGAAAATTTGATATCGTGCATTGCTTGCCGTCCCGCTCTAACTAGTGAGTATTTATATCTCACGCGCTTTGTCGCTCGAAATCTGATATCGTGCATTGCTTGCCGTCTCGCTCTAACTAGTGAGTATTTGTATCTCACGCGCTTTGTCTCTCGCAATCTGTTTAAAAATCAGATATTGTGGCAAACGCGTATGATATCGCGATTCGTGTCGGTCTAACGAGCGAGCACGGTACATCAGATTTCGGAAATATCAGATATTGTAAAATACATAGATATTGAACGAGCCAGTAAGCGATATTCGGATATTGTACTAATATCTAGTTTTCACATCTGATACGATTTGTATCGCCCACTTCTATCAGCAAGAAAGAAGCCCTGCAGCCTGGAAGAAGAGGAGCCTGCAGCCACTAGAAGACCGTTTTATTGCATAAGAAAAAACTTGTACAAACGTCTGAAAATAAACAGTGTTCTTTCTGTCTTCACGACATTCTTGTTTCTTTACCAATCCAGCACACTGAAACGTGCATTGCGCACAATATATAAAATTTGCGAATTCACACACTTTTCCAAATTATAACCTTCTCATTATTAAAAAAGAGTCTTTAAAAATACTAAAAGTACTGTTACACTAAAGTTTTCTGGGTGGTTATAAAAAAAATTAATTTTCGCCCACTTCCTATATTTGTTATGTTGGCGGTACTGTGTATTCAGTTTTTGAAGTCAAATTGGTAAAATGGTGAACTTTCTTAGTGAAAATTACGTTTTAAATAAATTTTTTTCTCGAAAACTATAATCGACCGCCAAATTCTGCTTGGTGAGTATTTTATTAATGATTTTTCTGTACCTAATTACATTTTTTTTATGTCGAAATACACCCGAAAATTTAAGTAAACTAATACCGATTAAAATTATGGTTTTGTGGAACTTCTCCCAGTTCCCAGAATTTGGACAATTGTTCAATGATAACATTGTAATCAGTATTATAATTTGACATTTTAGCTGAATGATGACATTGAATATTATTACCTTTATAGAATTGATAAATTTGACCTGAAATTAATCATCCGAAATTGGAACTTCTAAGTTTAGGATAGTTAGGGCCAAGCGTGATTTGCTTGCAGCCTAGAATGTCCCAGAATAGTTCGGCACCGATGAGAATATCAACCAGCGCAGGCTGGTTAAATGTAGGTTGAGCAAGCCTTACATTATTAGGTAAGTTTAATAATTTAATATTTATAGTAAAGATACAATACTTTTGTAAGAAATCAACATTTTATTGATTGTAAGTTCGTTTTTAACATAAATTCTTTACGAATAAAGCGTATAATATTTAAACGTATTTTTTAAGCTTTTAATTGACACTTGAGTAAAATCAGTTCTTCAAGCATTTTATCATTCATTTTTAGATGAGGCCTCATAATCATATCTCCAAAAGAGACGAGTCGCTCCACAGGGGCAGAACTTGGCAAACAAGTGTTATATTTGAAAAATATTTTTTTTTGTTGTAGGATAAGCATTTAAACTCTCTATGTTGGTTTCTTTATTATATTATTTAGGTACTGCAATGTTTCTAAATCAGCAATGCTGCCATTAGACCCTGTGCTTTCGCCACTTACAATAGAGGAATCCGAATCCTCTAAAAACTTGTAATAAGATTCATCTTTAGACTTTTTTTATAACACCTTCAATATTTTCTAAAGCCTCCGATTTTTGTTTTTCAGATTGATTAATTTTTCGTGTTTCTGTCAGGATGAAGTCTATAACATATTCTTTCTTTTGGTACCCCATTTCATTTTAAAAAAAACGGATGTAATACTGAGGCTTATATTATACTGCAGGCTCAGTTTTCCATTGACGTCCGTCGAATTTAGGTTGATATTTTTTATAAAGGTTACATTATTATAAGCACACACGTAAAGTTTCAACATGCGGAAACGAGTAGTAT